TCACCTTTTCTCAGATTAATATTATCAATATTTTCTTCACCAATAATTTTGTCAAAGACGTTAGAAGTCTATCGTTGGAGCTTATGTAAACTACCGTCTGTCTTTGGACTGGCAAACAGGCTAGCTGCTACGTGATGGTAAACAGTAACTGTCGCCTATAGGTACATAGAGTACATGAACAGCAATACAGATATAAGATTATCATGTGACACCCGTGATACTCATGCTTACTGCGTACTTTCAAAGGACTAAGTTTAAATATATGTAGTTTCAAAAGGCTCGGAACTAATAAAAATAAAATAACTTTGCTTAGAGTACAATTTGCAATTATTTTTAGTTATATGAATGTTCTAAGTATACATCTAAAACTAAATACATTTATTTATCTACATATTTTTTAATGTATCTAAACAAAATATCGAAAAAGAAATGGTCTCGTTAATATTTGTTATTTAGAACCTTAGTACCTACGAGCGAGAATATATTGATCATAAAACGAGCAAGTAAGTATTTCCACATTAACGCAATAAAACTTCATTTTAATATGCATTAATAACATATTTCATTTATAACCCATAATTACAATCACTTTGTGCTATTTAAATAGCAACTAAGAATCAACAAATTTAAATGAAAAAACTGACTAAGTAACAACTAGTTATCAACCAAGCAACGCGCCTAGTTATAAGTTTTGCATTTAAATTGGCCGGCATACTTCGTCACCTTTATTAGAAAATATATTCTTCATGCTAATACAAATTACAACTGAGAAGAAAATGGTTATTACCTATTACATACCTACCTACCTAGATGCTTTATTCTTAACGCAAACGTGCATTTCGTAATGTAGGTGCAACTAAACTGTAATATTTTGTCATTTTCTTTTAAACTACGTGACATAACCGCTCCTTATTTATGGACAAATTGGTTATAAAGGTTTGGCTGATAATCTAATTTAATTATTCAAACTAAATCTTTAAATGTGATTACTTTCATGTCAAATTAAAGTTCGTTTGAGAAATTGTTAATATTTAAGTTGATATATCTATCTAATTTATTTAGATAAAGTGTCTTATATATTAAAATGAATACACACAATAAATGCATCAATAATACGGATGAAGATTTAACCTAAGGATTCATTTCTTAATGCAGCTGATACAAATAATGAATACCTTACACTTATACGCGACCCTTACACTTAACAAAAACTGGAGGATTATCAAAGATACGATTTACTAGTTGGATCAAAATCCACCTTTACACCACTTTAATACCGACAAACGACGAATTGTATGCCATCTCTGCCACTTCGATCCCTTTACATTGTTAGCAACAATTTGTTACAAAGCTATATACTTACATACGTAATAGGTGGTTAACAATTACCAACTGTACGTAATAATTATAGCCAGTAAACATTGCAATTACATTTAGAAATCAGCAAAGATGACAAGTGAAAAGTACAATGTTGCAATATAGCTTAGTACATTAAGCATTACGACTCTCGCGCACGTTGACAAAGAGCATAATTCATTTTTAACAAGCAACACACAATTAACGGACGTTTCCAGGCATTAACAATTTTACAATATAAAATTGATGCCCCGACTTCGTGTCCATTTGCGGCGAACACCGTTTACTTTGTGCAAATAATGATTAATAAACATAAATTGTACGAAAAGGCCATCGGCTTTTTGTTTCGTATTAAAACCGTGGTTAATATGACGTGTTCGAATACATTTTAATTTCATAGATGCTTCCTACTGGGTATAGGAATTAAGTACTAGTAATGGGGATTTAATTCATTGTCCCATTGCAAAATATGATCAACCTTCACGCTGTGTCTCCTTTAAACCGTGATTAATTTTGAATAATCTGGCACGATAGATTAACTGATCTGCCTACCTCCTCTTCATCATATTCTACTGGTAACGCAAGCAAGTTCTTATTTCCATCATGATGTTTTCGCTTACTTCAGCGCTGTCGCTATTTCGATGTTCACAATTCAGTGATTATGGGATTGACACATAGGAAATACATAATTGCTAAATTGTCACTCTCAATCAATGTTATTCAATCAATTCAGTGATACAAACGAGAATTGCTAATAAAAAAGTTGCATTTTCCTCTTACTGAATTAATTAAGTTATTTTGTTATAGACGATAATGTAATGATTGAATAATAGTGTACAGTGGTAATTTCTTAGTTTTAGGTTTTCTATAGGGATATCACAACAGCATTGCTTATACATAGATAGTATACAATCTCTGTAAAAGTTACTAAATTGAATGTGTAGTTACTTCATTTTGAACTGGCGCCGAAATTCTGGCATCGATGTTTATTTAGGTACCTAGATGGCGGTGACAGGATGAAATTTTATACCATATACCTTTCTTTTACATCTACACTTCGTAAAATATAAACATTTAACTTTTTGTCACCATTAGTCAAGAAATCAAGTCATCATTGTGAGTTTAGATATATAAAAAAAATAAATTACAAAAATATTATACAAATTGACAGCCAATCAGAATGGTCAACGGAAGGATTTACAACAAAATTATCAGCTATTATATATTTGAGTGTTTAGGCACACATGTTGCGGTTGGTCCTTTGATCCCAAATGTGCGGTTCGTGATAGTGTAATAGAGGCATAAATTGGATCAGTAGTCGACCGATTGTCGTGGACGTCTCATTTCCTTTGTATAATGGATTTATTAAAAGAAATATGTTACTTTGTCCCCAAAATAGCCGGTAGAAAACGCACGCGATGTTTCATTATTTAAATAATAGACTGCGTGCGCATGCGACATTTTTGGTAACATCTAAGCCGTAAATAATAACAATGATTTATTAAAAACTCTACAGCGCAGTGGTAACGTGCGTAAATAAATATCTTTTCGTGAAGTCCATAGTTCGAGTCTTTATCGCTAAAATGAAGAAAAAAAATATACATGTACCTAATTTGTTTTCTACAACTCCGAATATAACATATAACTCCTAAAGTACCAAAAGTTTATTAAAGAATAATTTATTCGTATACAGTGTTAGCCTACAGTTTCAGATTTGAAAACAATTTTTAAACATTTCAAACTTGAATAAAATTGATCATATGTCGTGCATTATGTGCAACTTCAAAAAAATATTTTAATATTGAGGTTGTATATCTTAATACATACCTACCTACTATTCAGTTGAATGATTACTATTACAGAGTACAGGATTATCTACTACATATAGATACTCTTTCCTAACCCTATATGTTTCCACCTAAAAACTGTTGGCGCTACTTTACAAAACTAACACAGACAGACAGATGAAATTGTACAATTTTAGTTTCGGTCACACACATATTAAGACATGCGTGTTTCTCTACCCGTATTTTGCTAATAATAACGCACTAGAAACACGCAATTACTTATTACCTATTCTATGCTATGGTTACGAGAGGTCAGAACAAACTGTGGGATGAAGCAATTTGTGGTAATCAAGACAATGACGCATTTTATCGCTATTAATGTCCGCAGTGTCCTTTGTCGGCATCATCCGAGTAAATTTTTACTACTCTTGTGAGGTCTGTTTACTACTAATTGGGAGAAAATAACCACTAACTCATTATATCGGAACCACCTGTCGGAAAACAAATAGCCATAATTATCCATGCCAATTGTCAAAGGAATATAAGCTCTTTCCACTACCACGATAGGGATTACGGGTGAAAAGTAATTACGATAGATCAATTAATTTCATTTCTAAAAGCTGATGCAATTAAAATACTTAGTTGTTGTTTTTTAATATACTTACAGCTGTACCTATCCTCTTCTAATATCGTACTTTTTTGGTAGAAATAAAAATATATTAGATATGTATTTAATAATGAAAAAGTTTATTAAAGAAATAAGAATGAATAGATTATTTATTTTTCTATTTCTATAGCAGTCGTAGTTTTTATGACGATACAAAAGGATTGCCTAAGACATTCTTGGCGATTGAGATCTTTCCCCTCCCTCGCGTTAGTGATAATCCTTGAAATCATTTAACTAGGAATGTTATATGTATATCTGTTTAATCTATGTAAATATAATCACGATTGTTAATCTCAGATAGGAGAATCGGAATAATTTTGTTGTTTTTAAGTTCTATTATTAGGTACATAATATAGTAGGTACCTACAGTTTGCAGAAACATATTTGGGAGACAGACCATAGGTTTTATGTTATTATGGTACTTTATTTGTAACACACACACTAACTGAACACAGAAGCACACATTATTAAACGATATATTTACCAGTAGTAGTACCTACCTACCCTCGACTTCTTCCGCGATATTTATTAATAATAGTAGATGGCGTAATAAAATTTACAAGTACAATGTTTCCGTTGTTTTTTAATATATTTTAACCTACCCTTTTTTAGTATATGTTGACCCACACAATATATTCTCTGAAAATTTCATACAAATACCTTCAGCCGTTTTGATGTGAAAGCTTCACATGCAAAACCGTGAGGGGAAGGAGATTGTTTGTGATATGGACTAATAACCCCAATGCTAGCGATGTACTATATCAGGTTGACCTTCACGGTTCATCCTGGAGACCATCACGGTAAAGAGGGCTAGATAGGCCAAGATGGGCTAACTGATCTATCTTCATGTTCATCTTATCATCGTCCACAGGTGCCCCGCCAGTGTAAACCTTTAGAGCAGGAGGTGCATCATTCTATTATCATCCATAAAAAAATCACGTAGTCTTCGCATAATCACAATTTTTCAATTTTATTATATGTATGATAATATTATTTATTAGATCCCAAGTTTCTTTAAGAGACCACCCATGAATGTGTAGAATTGAAAACGACTATTAAAAGATAATCTTTATTTAAGGAGAATAATAAATAAATTGATGATAATACTGTGTTAAATTTTTTATTATAGCCCCGACCTACTATACTTCATACGACTCAAGTATACAGGAAAATAAAATAACAACACAAAGTTACATCTCACATTTAATACAGTATCCAAATTCCCTAAGTGCTCTGTTTAGATTCTTTCGCGTTTTGGAGTGCTTGCGTTAAGTACAGCTTAGCCAAACTCTGAGAACAGAACTGGCTTATATGTTGGCTGTAAGTGTTGATTTGTCCTGCAACAATCATAGGGTTTAGCCTAGGTGGCACAGGGTGGGGCTTGAAGAGTTTGTTGACATCTTCCTCAGGTAGGGGTGCTTCGTCCTTGGCGGCTCTTGCTGCGTTCTCCTGAGCGCGTTTGACCAGCCAACGATGTTTGTCCTGCTGTTGACGCACAACCAATTGTTGGTAGCGGTTGAACTTGATGGCCTCCTGATTCAGCTCATCGACGCGTTCCATCAGGCTGCGAAGTTGGCCTGGAGAAAAAACAAAACAAGACTTGTTCAAAACTGTCTACATTTGATATTATATTATGTTACCACAGCTTCACTTGTTTTGATTATCAACCAGTGGGGAGACATGGTATGGTCCATGAGAATCAACTTTTTTGTGTAATGATTTTACATAAAAAATGATTATAGTTTATTCAGTTATTTATATACATAGACATTCCATAAGTAGGGACTTGAGATAGAGAAAGACCAACTCTACTTCATATCCTTGAATAGAATAGATTATTTATTCAAATAAACAAATTTAAGCACTATTGTGTAGTAATACATGTTTTTTTTAATCTACCACTCTTTTAGAAAGCTCTCTTGTCATCACATAAGAATCTTGCCTGTTGTTCTTTTAAATATTTGTTGTAACTTTTTAACCAGGTCACTCGAATGAAGATCTACCACAAAACTAGTTAAGCATAAATACTAGTAGCATCGAAACAAACCTTCTAGGACAGATGCAGTGCCAAGGTCCAAGAACTTAGAGCCCTCCTCCTCAGGAATCATCTCTGAGAGTTCTGACATCATGATGTTGGTCAATGGCGAGTTGCGGATCACGATTGGCACCTCGATGAACAGGCTCTCGTAACCAATCTTGAGACCCCGCAGTGCCTCTGGTGTGTAATCGCCTTCTTTATACATTGCAATGGCCTGTAATGATATGAAAAATAAATATTTTTCAATAATGCCAGAGATACAATGTAAAAAGCCGTCTGTGTGAGTACTTGTTTCACCTATTTCAGCCGCCAATGTATAATATTATTTTTAAGTTGTGTTCGGTGTGTGTGTGATCAGTGAAATTACAGTATAAGATGCATGAATTTTAGTTCTATGGAATGGCAATGCATGATTGGTATTATGTTATTACCTATAAAACGTTTTAAAACGTTTAGGCGAGTTTATTCATGTATGGCGACGGTAACTTACACATCAGTTTTTTTTTTTAAATGACACATTAAGGCACCTTTTCGGTTGTGTACAGAATCTCTATAGATTCTTTATAGAATAAGTCAGGAAGGCGCAATAATAAAGGCACAAATTATTTATTTCTAGCTACTTCCCGTTTTTTGTAAAATTAGGGACCTGATTAATACTTTTTTTAGTTACTGTTAAGAGGTCGGTTAGATCTATATACAGATTACATTTTAGATGTTTATTAATATCTTAAATCTCGTTTTCCAGTGGATTCATGATACTCAAGCAAGGTCATGGGCTAATTTTAAAATAGATAGGGGGAGGGGGGTTGTTAGTAATGGGAAATAATGGTCCCCTGATCTGACTTCATATCCACTCTATCCTCTACTGGTGCATATAGTGTATACAGTTAGTGCAGATGTACCATTATTTAGCATTAGCATTAGCATCCATAGAAAATAATAGTTTTTAATAATATTGGTAACAAACAACAGAACTAACCTGAGGAGTGAGGCGATAAGCCTTCAATGTAAGGAAACCTCTAGCAGACTTCTTGGTGTCATAAATGACCACAACACTCTCCTCTATAGAAGTCTGGTAATGATACTGAGACTCCAACAGGGACTGGCTCAGGAAGTTGCCTACATCTGCACTCTGGTACCTGAAAAATATTATAATAAACATATAATATTGTCTATGCCAAAATATTCAATTCACACAGTGCCATCCAATCCTAATTTACAGTCTGTAATGTGTTGTCTCCAGATTTTTATAGTGATAAAACAAACAGGTATAACCTAGGATAAAAAGAAGACTCACCAGCCGACATGGAAATGATCTACATTAACCCGGCGCAGTCTCCGCATCATATCCAGTTGATACTCCTCTTCATCCATTGTGTCATCATGCTTAGGGAATGGAAAGCAGTTGGTGATCTCAAGACGGTTATCTACAACCAACCCTAGTAAGGCACCTTGGGCCACCTCCATATTACTGCATGATTCTTCATGACAATGCTTCACAATTTTCATCACCGCCTAGAACAGATAATGTACAAAGAAATTAGAAAGATATCTATAATTATAGTATAATAAAATAGGCATTAATTCATATACAGATTTCTTCTCATTATGTTATTAAGCATAAACAGTTATTTATATATTGATTAATGATGAAAATAACAACAATCTTGATTCATCGATTACATTTCTATGAATATCAATTATTCTTACTGAAAATAATATTTAATTTAATGAGAAATTAAAAATAATTTTCAATGTTTTAGTAAATATACTATCATATAATTAAACAAATATCATAATACATACATGTTACATATATATATTTATTTTTAATTAATCTTTAGTATTAATTTATTTAGTTATTTTTGTCTATTCTTACAATTATTTTTTACACTTTTGTGACCCAACCACCCCTTCCTATGTCACACACTGTTTTAGGTTGACTAAAAGAGATCTCTTTTAAGTTCTCCTTTGCTAACAATATTTCTAATATATTGATAGCAAAAGAGGATTTAACAGTGCAATTATGTATGTGCAATCTTACTAATATTATAAATGCAAGAGTTTATGAATATGAATGGATGTTTGTTACTCTTTCAAGCAAAAACTACTGAAAGGATTTTGATTAAATTTTACTATCATATTTCATAATTTCTTTTGAAATTCATTCCAACTGAATAATGATGTACCCTAATAAAACTATGTGATATGTACTTCTATGAATTCACCTAAAAGAATATACCTTTAAACTAGATACTTGAATATACCATCACAACAAAAAAGATATACATAGTTAACTACTATATATATCTTTTTTGTTGTTGTTGAGGCATTGTCAACTGTCAAAGTTGTGGTGAACACAACATGCCCACATTCCAGTTAGTATATTTACTATATGGCAGGTGGAGAGCCAACAACTTTCCCTCAGATTATTTTTTTTATTTGATATCAGTGTTTCAAAAGATATACATAGTTAACTACTATATATATCTTTTTTGTTGTTGTTGAGGCATTGTCAACTGTCAAATTGAACACAACATGCCCACATTGTTAGTATATTTACTATAAGGTCACTTTCCCTCAGATTATTTTTTTTATTTGATATCAGTGTTTCCTTCACTGGAGAATCAGTCAGAAATATAATTTCATGCAGTTTTTTTTGTCTGGCAAATTTGAAATCATAAACACTTGAGCATATTTCTTGGTAATAAGTCACTAAGCAACAAATGTAGTTATTTAATAGACATTCAGTAATTTAATTCCATTGTTTTATGACTCATTTTAAGTACTAAATAACCAATAAATTATGTATAGAGTAAGTATGAATGTTTAATTTAACATTTGGTATTTATATGTTTTCAGTTTCTGTCAATAGAAAGTTATAGAGGCACAATATACCAACTGAAATTAAATCTTTCTATATTTTTTAGATTAATGAATTGAATGATTAAGAAAGGAAAAACAAAGTACTTAAACAAAAAATAAAGTAAATATTACCTTATGTCATAATAAATAAGAATGACATCTAGTAATAATAAATAATATAAAAAACTGTTGTCTTAATGCATTCTTATCTCAGTTTGTGAAAGTAAACCATATAACAGTCCATAAAAAACACTGACATCATTTGTATATAAATTAAGTCTGGTGAGGTCAAAAACAAGATTATATGACTTTACGTATGACTCATTATCATCTTTTTTATATAGTTATATGATCACTGTACAGATCAAAGGTCAATGAATTAAAGAAATGCATATCCCAAAATAAATATGACTCGTATTTGGACATATTGTTATTGTTACACAAACTAATTTAAATGTATTTTATTGAGTATTTCTAATATTTTCCATTTCTATTAGTTTTATTTTAAAACAGTATTCTAAAAACAATATTTTGTTCAAGATTACTAAATTTCCCTACTAATATAAGATATATTATTATAAAATTAGTTAATCTAGTGTTGTAAATTCAGTGGGTAGCTTTATCAATTTGAACCTAACCTCATTTTGTAAAATGCATTAAAATAGTAATGCTATTAACAGAAGTTCAACATTAATATCAAATAACTAAATTGGGGTATGTTCAATAATTATTAATATAAAATAAGCAGTGAAGACTTTAAAAAACTGTGAAAAACATGACGTGTCTGCTGGTTTCACAAAAAAGTTGAAACAAACTATAATTATCGTCAAATAGAAAGTTCAAACAAAATATTAAATAAATACGTACCAATCCATCGCATTGAACATAAGTGATAGCGGGTTCATTTTCAGGAACGCGTCTAGCCGAGCCTCCTCGACTAGCCATTTTTGCTTCACAAAGAATTCTTTAAAAAGGAATATAATATCACACTACTCACAGAGTACCCAGAGATTTTGACTAAAAGAACTGTAAAATATGTCGTGACTAGAAATGAAATAGATCGAATGAAATGAACGAAGTTACAAGTTGAAGCTGTCAAACTGAGTGACAAACATTGTCACAGTTGTCAGTCATATAATGTTGCCAGGCTATAACATTTTTTGAACAAAGTGGAATAAAAACACAGTCGTTTTATATCTTTCAGATAAAATTATAACTAGCAGTTTTCCACTCTTCTCATTACAAAGAGGGCAATAATAGGTAATAATGTGAACAAATGACGTCTTGCTCATATCCAAATTTTGTGCAAATTTCGTTTAAGAATTAATGAAATCCCCCATAAAAAATCTTTATCTGCCATCAATTCTATAATATAGTAACCCCAAAATTTTCGTAATCCGCTACAAAGTAACAATATTATACCGTACCCACCCATGATTACATTCATACCCCTTTAAATCACTTCTTAGATGGTAAAGGTAGGTTCGTTTCTATCTATACAAGTAAGTGGGAACCTGGGGCTATAATTTTGTAATACAGTTACTAACATCTTTTATTTGGATCAGATTAAAATCTATATTGTTACAATTTAGTAACGTCAAAATGCATTCTAATTTATTACATAGAATTTATAATTGTTTTTAATGGCGTTAATGAATGAATAAGGGATTAAAATATTTTTAATTTATTTATTCATTGTTATAGTGTACAGACGACAATAAATTAGATAAACGTAATTAATTTCTGAATCTAAAACTTGGATTTTCTAGTAAAGCAGCTGGCAACACTGTATGCTGCCGTCAATCATGTGTCAAACATAACAAACACCAATCTAATTCAATCTTTACATTCACATACTACTTCCCCTGTAGTGTTTAGTGTTTTTTATTCCTATTCTGCTTTCAGTAAATAAATAATACTACGCATAATATTTATTTATGATTTAAATAAATTATTTTATGATTTGTTTATAATATCACCGTGAGACATGTTTGAATCACCATAATCTCTTATTAAAGTGCAACATGTTAAATCAGTGTTTGATCAAAGAATCCAATTAATGAGTGTTCAATGATTTTCTATTAAAAATAATAAATAATGAATCGACATAAATTCTGGAGAGGATTAACACCATTAGAAGTATGTTCCTCGCAAGCAGTACCCGAAAGAATTGTCAAGTTGTCTTCCATAGGCTCTGATTTTATTGTCCTAGGCAGTGACCATTGTTTGTATCACTGTGACATTGAAGAAAACCGTCTAGAGTTTAAGAAGGTTCCTGGTATCTCAGCCATAGACATATCATACCACAATGATGTTGTTTATATTATTGATGTACATGGCCGCCTATATAAAACAAATTCCAGCTTTAAAAGTAAAGAAGAAATTGTGGTTAAAGAAGAGGCAAAATGCTGTCCCCATGGCTTTAAAAGTTCTAGTTTTAAAGTAAAATTCAGAAATGTGGTAACAAGTGATTTTGGTCAACTTTTTATTAGTAGTGATGGTCAACTGTGGGGCTCAGGTACAATGCTCCATATAGCTTTAGACACAACTAGTATTAAGAAAGTGTCATTTTTTGAAGGTAGGACTGTTTATAGTGCATCAGTAGGACAGAATTTTGCTGCTGTTATAGCTAGAAAAAATGTTAAACGATCAGGCACTTATGATACTGAAAGTGATAATGATGATGAAGAAGTATTTGCATCTAATTGCTCACAATGCCAGACAATAATAGGCCTAGCTTCTCCTGCATCTGTACCGTCCCTATCTGAAACCTGTCCACTTGGAGTCCAAATTAGCAAATCTAGTGAGGATTCTAGTAGCACAACTGCACCACAAACAGACGTCCATGTGGATGCCCATAGTTTTACAGAAGATTCTAGTCCCTCATCTGAGGAATCCAAAATTGCAAGAAATAATGCAACACAAAGAAATTCAAATGTAGAAACCAATCCGAGTGAACAAGAAGTCAAAGTTTTGGAAGATGATGATGAAAGAACAGAAATTATTACTGATACACCTCATGGAAGTACAGATAAAATTAATAATATATTTATAAATACGGATGCTGCAAGACAATTCCTAAGTAAACAATTATCTTGGGTGTCAGCTGGTGAAGATTATTTGGTGGAATGTACAGAGAAACCCACAAGAATAATTAAAGAGAATGTATCTAATCTTACAAATTTTGTTTATGAAGGTGTAAAAACTGTAGGTGACAAAGTTGCTACTTTATCCAGACATGTTAGTGGTAGTAGTGAAAATAATGAAGTTGTAGAACTTCAATTAAAAAATTATAATGATGAAATTAATTCTCTGATGTATAACTGTACATCTCATTGTAATTTTGATGATCTTCAATTGTCTACAAGTACTATTAGCAGTGAAAAGGAATTTGAGACAGGTAGAAAAAATGAAAATATTAAGAACATGTCAAAACTTGGTAAGAATATTTTGGCAACTGAATTATGGACTTGGGGAGACATATCATATGGCCAATTAGGTATTGGTGATACAGTTAAAAGACTCAAACCGATGGTAGTTATGAGTTTATCAGGCTATGGACTACAAAAAGTATCCTGTGGTAAATGGCATTGCTCAGCACTTACATTAGATGGACGACTTTTTTCATGGGGTTACAATCATTACCATCAAGTTAGTTTTGACTCGAGATATGACAAAAGTGGTCCTAAACAATTCACAGAAAAGTCAGACAGTGATCGAGTCAGAGATATGATAGCCACTGACCACCACACCTTAACATATACACATAATGAAAATATTTTTTATATGGGAAAACATACAAATGGATTTACTGAGAGCTTAATTAAGTTGAATGATGAAACAGCAGATAAGGAAGTTACTGAAAATAATAAAACTGTGCCTGTGAAAATTACTGAATCCCAAATTGTTGGAAATAAACCCCAAAATATGTGCTATCATTGGAGAATATTGTCATCTGGTAATATTAGTTATTGTTCTCTGGAAGACTCTAAGTGTCTAGAATTCCAAGATCTTTCCATTGCTCAAAGATATTTGGAGGAAATGCTTTTGATATATCATTCTCTAATCAAACCTTTTCTTAAGAAAAGTAAGGCTGTAAATGTACATTCCATTATATATGAAAATGTTTGTGATATATTTGGTGACATTTTGAATATAACTGCTCTGAATGTACTCTCCATGTGGCAATATGCAGAGAAGCATATAAATGAATGTGATATTTCTTTAATAAAAAATTTAGAAGAATATATTTATTTATACAGAAAGTATTATGTAGCTGTAAGCAATTTAATTGTTATTGGTGGTTTCTCACAAATAAATAGTATTGTTGATGTATCATCAAGTATTTATAACTTGTTTATTGATCAACTTCCATCCTACAAACAGAAAAACAACAAGAAAACTCTAGAAGCTATTGTGGCATTAGCATTTGTACAACCATTAACAAGATTAAGTTCCTACAAATGCATAGCACAATCTATACTGAGATACAAAAAAAAGAGAAAAAAAGGAGACTTTAAATCAAACATTGAGGAAAGACTAAGCAATGTTGTATCATCATTAGACTCATTAATAGAAGAACAAGAGAAAAAACGAAAAGAAGCAGATGTAACAAAACTATTTTGGGAGACAACTGGCAAATCTCTGGACCAGTATAGGATTCCAGAACGACGCCTAGTTAGAGAGTCTAAATCACGTTCACTCAATTTAGTAAATCCAGGACGTTTTTCATCCCACTGGTTCATTTTATTCAACGATTTATTTGTTCATGTTAGTGGCAGCACTCCCAATTTACATCCATTAGAGACAGTGTGGATAGAATCGATACCAAATAATGATTCATTATTGAACATGATTCAAGTTACAACACCGGAAGAAGTTATATCACTTTCAACAAATACAGAACAAGACAAAACAGAATGGCTTCATGCATTAAATACGAGTATTCGTACAAAACTAAACAGGGACCCAAATTTTAAAACGCCCTCAATCAGATCGGCAGATTACACATTTTCTAGTAAAATTGCTTTTTATAAAGATGCAAAATATTCAGGAAGATGGTTAGATGGGAAGACACATGGCAGTGGGAGACTTGAGTGGCCGGATGGAAAACTCTATGTGGGGCAGTTCCAACTAAATGCTTTATGTGGTCATGGAAAAATGGAAATACCTACAGTAGGTAAATATGTACCTACTTATTAAATTATTACTTAGACAAATTAATAACACTGTTCTTTTAGCTGAGATGAGATTAATACCCTATCTTTCAAAATAAAAATAATCTTAACCATTAGTACATACTTGTATTCCCTCTTATTTCAAGACCATTATTATAATTATACATTTTCGTATGTTTATCTTGTGCATTACAATAGTTATTAAATTAGTAGGTAGATTCTTTGCTAACTCATTAATATACGTATGAGTTTTCTCAGTCTACTAACAACGCAGTATGATTACAATACTAATAACACAATTATGAGTTATCGTAATTTAAAATCTTACACCTAAATACACATTTAATTTACACATCTAATTAAATGGAATACTTTCTTAGGCATATACGAAGGCCAATGGAAGGACAACCTCCAAAACGGGTACGGCGTAATGAAATACGTTACGGGTGATATATACGAAGGGTACTTCAAAGATGGCCAGCCACACGGTCACGGGATTAAAAAGCAAGGAGACTTTACGTCATCTTCTGCTACTATCTACACTGGGGAGTGGGTAAATGGGGCAAAACAAGGGTACGGAGTAATGGATGATATCGGCAAAGGAGAAAAATACTTGGGCAGTTGGAGTGATAATAAGAAACACGGCTGTGGCCTCATTGTGACCTTAGATGGAATTTACTATGAAGGCCTTTTTGTGCAGGATGTTCTAACGGTGAGTTACAAGATGAGTATTTACTATTAGCATTTATTTGTAATGTTTACATACATTTATTACACTTGTGAATATGTGCAAATTTAATATATAACATTGTAATGGAATGTAGTCTTATATTATATATATTATTTATTGCACTTTAAAATACAGTAGTAAACTTAAATATATACAGAGTGAGCAAAGGTGGACTTATCTCTAAAAGATATCTGTACCAATCAACCTAACAGTGAGGCATAACTATTAGTGAACTGGTAACACATTGCAATTAACAATATAATGTTGAAATGTCCAAATTTTGAGAAAAAAAGACATTAAAATTCAACAAATTAAATAATTATGTAGTTATATGTAGGTATGTGTATATGATATGTAAATTGTAATAACTAATTGTTATACCTCGACCAGACACAGTCTAATCACTCCTCTCCATCCTAAGGTTGTCTGGAGGAAATCGCTATTTAGCTATAAGGCCGCCCATTGTTACCTCTATATTATAATTATGTTGTTTTTTCTTTTTATATTTGATGTACATATTAATTTATGTAATTATTATTTTTGTGAGAGGAACAATAAAGTGTTTTTCATTTCATTTCATAATATTCTAATTATATTATCATTATTATAATAAAATATACAATAATAAATAAAATATACAATAATAAATAAAATAAACATAAGTAAAGGATATGTATATACATACATATTATGATAGTTATTACCGGTAACCTGTACCTATTAATTAACTATACTTAATAAAAAGTAGCCTATATCCTAATACATAGAGACGAGAACGCATAGCTCAAATTGCATGTCGAATGGTTGGAAAGGGCCATGAGGTGCGAAGAAACAAGTGAAGTGAGCATTCATGTAACATATATATACTATATAACATACATTGCAATGCACGAACCTATTTCTTATATGACGTTACTTCGGTTAATACGCGCCTTAATATTTATTTGCACATGTATTAAATGTTGTTGTCATATCTCTTTATCTTCTTATCTTTAGCCTTCTGAATATTAGCAACATAAAAATTTAATTAGAGACATTTTGTAGTCTTGAAGTCTTTACACTTTTTGCGTACATTTCATCGTACTAATTAAGATTTTTTTAAATAAACTTAATACTCAATTTAACGGCTCTATTGCCATCTCAGGATTAATTATTTCTGTTAACAATGAACAATTATGCACTAGTATTTATAATATAATAAAGCCAATTGCCTGATCTTCAAACACGTGCTGTGAATGGGTCATAATATAACAGTGGAAGGATGCATCGAGCAGCCGAGGGTTATCAAAGTGACCTGTCATGATCTGGAAGAGCACTGTTTAAGGGAGAAATGACAAGTACATACATACAGTTATGGAAGTGAATAATACAACATATTTATTCACGTACGGGCGGACTCCTTCGTCTTATAAGGTTTTAGCGAGAAGATAAACAGATTTCATTTATTAATTTATCCCCAGAAAGAACTATGCAATAGATACATATAATTTTTTTATCCGAACTTTGATTAGATTATATTAATCTAATCTGCTTTATAGTGGGTTAATTCCATTAAGTTTTAAAACCCTTAATTGTATAATAATACTGAGTATTACATAATTTACTATTGTCTGGTCATTCCATTACGACTTAATCTACTTGATTAAGTCGTAATGGAACGCGAAACTAGGCAAGAAACTGCCTTAGGCATCGCTCAGAAGATCTAAGTGTGAGCCAGTAAAAACACAAAATACAAGTAGATTAAAATTCTGGAATGCGTCAAGGACGATACTGAGGTATTGCTGAAAGATATAAATATAAATAAAATTTATTAAGGCATTTGAAAGTTTTTATCGGAACCTGAATCAAAATAAACTCTACTACTTTATTAATTTAGGGAGAGAACTTTAAATCAGTATAATTTTTCTTTACAGTAGTTTAGATGTACTAAATAATATAAATATAAAATATATAAGTATTTAATTTTATGTATTTACCGAATGACAAATTTTCATGACATAATGTGTGATTTGTATGAGTGTTCGATAACGCTTTTTGTTGACTAATCAGCATTAAGGAATATAATTTTTGTGTATTACGTCTCGGAACATATCAAATTATTATGATATCCAGTAATGCGTGATTCAAATCAATGCAAAAATCATATTTATATTTATTCACAATCGCTCCATACTTCTGATATGGTTCGTTGACTCTTGGAATAAGTGTCGAATATCCTAGAATGTTTATATGACACTAGTTGATGCTATTGACATAGAGTTAGTACTTGGAATTAATATTAACAATAATAATAACCCTGGACAATTCACACAGCGTCACCTAGTCCCAAGTTGAACAGGACTTATGTTATGGGTACTAGACAACTGATACAATTACTTAAATATTTTTTTTACAAAATACATATATAATAGACATAGAAACATTCTGATCGATACAACCTATCATATTCTTGATTACAAATGTAAAACATTGTTCGAAAAATCGAATCCATGTCCATCAGAAGTAAGGCGATGTGCTAAACCACAGAGGTCAACTTGGAGTTAATTTTCTTCAAATATTCTTTATGCGTCACTGTCCAGTTTATTTTTGTTTTTCAATTAATTTAAATTGATTTCGTTTTGTAGGCACTAAATGGTAACATACGGTTACGGGGCTATCAGATAGACCGTATGCTTGTTTTTTATACTACGACGTTGGCAACGTCATAGTAGAAAATACCTACATTTAGTTTCGCATCCAACTTCATGTTCTTTATTTACATCAAAGATAGATAAGACGTCAAATTTTCGTCAACGTCTAATCTACTTCACTTACTAGTTAATCAGTTGACTATAAGAAGAAGACAGACAGACAAACATTTGTATAGTAGACACATTTGGATTTACAATATTAGTATATGTATGTTATCATCTTATTAATACATGAAGCAAAAACTTTGTACTTACCCCTTTTTACAAAAATTGCGCGAATGCAGGTGTGTGAAATTCGCACACTTATAGTTTAAATAGACTAGCTATTCGCCCCTGCTTCGCACAGGTGTACGTATTATCCATATAAACCTTCCTCTTGAATCACTCTATCTATTAAAAATCCGTTGCGTATTTTTAAAGATTTAAGCATACATAGGAACGGACAGCGACAGCGACAGCGACAGCGGCTTTATTTTATTCTATGTAATGAAGAGTAGTTTTTTAAAATTATCCATGACAAATCATTAAATCACAATACACATAAAAATTACAATATGTGTGTATTGTAATTTTACATAACTATACATACACTTGCGTTTAATTGTTATTGCTGGTTCAGATATTTTTGTATTTTTTATTATAGTCGAAATTTGACCACTTGGCCACCACTAGTATGTTTTTGTATGCTATAAGGAAAATGAAATCCTCAGGGCCACGGCGTAATGGTCTTCGAAGACGGTACTCACTACGAAGGCGAGTTCAGATCAGCCGGCTTCTTCTACGGTAAAGGCGTGCTTACATTCTCAAGTGGGGACAAGATCGAGGGCTCGCTGTCCGGCGCCTGGACCGAGGGTGTCAAGCTGTCCAATGCTACGATGCATTTGAACGTTTCTAACCCAACACCGCCTGCTAATTCGAAACCTAAGTAAGTTTATCGGATGTTATCAAATCAACTACATATATTTTTATTCATATATTTAATGAACAAATACAATATATAAATGTACATATGGCGAACTTAAAACCTAATGGCGTTCTCTACCAGTCAACCATAAAGCAAATGGAGAATAGTAAGCGGCGCATTCTAATTACAAACACCTAGTCATATTAATACTAGCTGTTACTGCGTTTGCTTTTTTAAGATAAAACATATTTCCATACACCTAAAACAATCTATTTTCACGGCATGCATTCGTTTAGTCGTGGAAAAATAACAAACAACAGAGATATTTCGTGTTTTTGATACTAATATGGATAACCAGCTGTTTCCCGCAACTTCGTCTAATTTCTTGAGTTATAATAATAATATATAATATAATAAGATAACATATAAACTATTACATTTTTGTTAAATACACATCATACATATAATTTATCAGTAGCATCTATACTAGGTCGAGCCTGTAATAATACAATCTGTCCTAATAATACAATCTACCATCACGCAAAATTTTATAAAGATCCGGTCAGCTATTTAGTCGTGAAACGCTAAAAAGATAGACAGACACACATTCTTATTTATTATATGATATATTTAATAAAACGTCATAGGAAAGACATGGTGACTGGTATTGACTTCTGATATACTATGATAGAAAATACATGTACTCGTCTGAAACAGTTTTGTCTCTTTTCGCTTAGCATCATTGATTCTAGATTTGTAAACTCTCAAGAATTTGATATAATTATTTGTTACAAACTAATCCACCGTTTTTGTAGTTCCTTCGGAAAACTCAGTGTCGCGCCGCATCAAAAATGGAATGCTCTATTCCGCCAATGTTTCCAATGCCTCGGCGTATCAGATACGATTCTCACGCCTACTGGCAATCACTTCGCCAACGGACCATCCGGCGCCACCATAGACAACACAAAAATATGGCATAACGTCGCAGTTGCAATTTCCTGCTCACACAAAGATAAGCATGTGAAAACACCGAAGAAATCGAAAGATATAGACAGACAGAAGTTAGTAGATTCCTTGGAGGTGATACCTCGATTTGGACAGTCTACTCTCAGTTTAGACAGCTATACAGAGTTGCGGCAGTATTTACAAAATGTAAGTTGTGATTACAAAGAATCATAATTAATAATAATAATTTCAGATCAATTCACACAGCGCCATCTAGTCCCAATTTAAGCTACCTAATGCTTGTGTTATGGGGATTAGATAACTGATAAATACATAGATTTTTTTTCATAAATGCATATATAGCAAACACGACGACAGATAAAAGACGACTTCATGCAACTGAAATGAGAATGTTAAGGTGGATGTGTGGTGTGACAAGAATGGATAAGATAAAGAATGAATACATTAGGGGAAGTATGAAAGTGGCACCGGTGTCAGAGAGGTTGAAGAGTAATCGTCTATTATGGTATGGACATGTAATGCGTAGGAACGAGAATAACATTTTAAGAAAGGTGTTACATATGAATGTGGATGGTTATAAGGTCAGAGGAAGGCCGAAAAAGAGATAGATGAACTGTGTGAAAGATGATATGGTAAGAAAGGAAGTAAATAACGCTATGACTGCGAATAGGGATGAATGGAAGCGAAAAACATATTACGCCGACCCCAAATAAATGGGATAAGAAAGAAGCAGATGATATATAGCAAACACCCAGACCCATACAAACAATCATACAAATGTTTGTGCCGTGCAAGATCGGATGTAAGGCACTGTGGTAAACCGCTAGACTACTGGGATAGGCATAATTACTTACAATATTAATTAAAACTTGGAAAAAAAAACATATTTGAAGTTAGCTAATTTCCTTAACTAGTTATCTAAATATGAATAATAGTTATTTTCGGAACGATACATATTTGTCAAAAATAGGTCTGATATGACCATTTGTGGTGTACTCGTATATATTTAATTATATAATAGAGATATGTACTGTATGCATCAATCAAATTAAAGAAAAATGTTATCTCAATTGTCAACTATAATATTAAATGTCAACAAGGCGATTCTTTTAGTTAATACTTCTTTTATATTAATTATCTACACTCAATGTCTTGTTTTTCAATAATAATTTATTATAATTTTTTTTTATAATTAATACCGAGTATGTAACTATAAATTTAAAGAAAAATACTAAGAATCACACACGTACAAATAAAACTTTAAACATGTTCTCTGTTAGGTAACTTGACAACATTTTATTAAGTCGTAAATACATGCTGCACAAATATAAAAACATCTAACAATAGTGAAATAAAGCACAGTATTGAATGGGTATGTACTAATTAATTCTTTGATGTCCAGCGTACTCGATTTCTTTTACCTTGTCAGAAAATTATTAACGACAATTTTCAAGTGAGAGGTTCTGGTAATGCCTATGCTGGTAGGTAACCGCCTATTTTTCATAAGAGTGTTGGCCGTACGTAATCCATATATTAAGTCATTAGAAACTATTTTTTTTTCAAGCAGGCATGCGAGTCTCTCCATCATCCATTGGGGCGGCTGGTCCTCGGCCTCACGAATGCCTTTAATACAACATATGGAGGTGTTCGCGTCCACCCACTACTATTAAGTCATGCAGTTAAGGAGTTGAAGAGTATCACCTCGAGGCTGTACCAAGTGGTTAGGTTGTTATTCCCAGCACTGCCACCAGAGGGCACCGATGTTGTGTTGTCGTACAGAAGAAATTATTCCAATGATGAAGACGATGAGACTGTCGATAGTAATCCTATTGAAGGGTATGTATGCATTAACAAATCTGTGTATTTAAAAAAAACTCAGTTATTTAGTAGTGTGTATACAATTTCTGTTTAGTTTGCGGATATCTATGCACAAATTGCTTATTTTAGTATATGGAAAAAATCGTTGAACGTCAAGTCATATTTGTCCGCATAGAATACGTATATGTATGTATTTATGTATGCATTTGTTATACTATATTATTATACTTTTTTGTATTATCCCTTTGATGTGGTGTTAGAATTGTCTTTGCGGGTGAAAATCACCAAACAATGACAATTATAAAACAAATTATAATTATGATTTTTTAAAGGAATATCTGTAAGACAATTCTACTGGTGTTTAGTATTAGAGCTTTTTTAAAGTATTTATTATCATTATATTATTATTTCTATTAACCCAGTGAGGTGGTATCAGCGGCGTCGTTACTGCAGCCGACTCTACTACCACGGGTCCACCCGGCGTTGTTCGTGTTGTACGCTCTGCACAATAAGCGCGAGGATGACTTGTACTGGCGCAGATTGCTCAAGTGGAACCGACAGCCCGATATAACGCTTATGGCCTTTTTGGGTATTGATCAGTAAGTGTTTTTTTAATAATCTTATTTTTTTTTTTATTTAAAAGTAACTCCTTATTGCCCCTTTGAAAAAATACAAAACAAGCTTATATTAAACATCAGAATAATACATGGCCTATAAATTTCACGCCAGTGAAACCACAAACACTGCCAGTATCTGTGAAATTACAAGACATGATGGCATGACATCTTAATCCTCCTGAATCGTAATTCATGAGTGGTATCATAAGAGTCACGTGATGATGTATTTAGATATATTCATGTATATAATAATAATATCTGAGGACAATTTACATCTCAATCTATTGTAGTCCCAAGGTAAGCAGAACATGTGTTATTAGTACTAGACAACTGATATAAATACTTAGATGCATTTTTTTGTAAATATATACATAATACACAAAGAAAACACTCAGACCGATACAAAGAATCATACTCATGAATACAGAAGAATCGAATATTCGACCATCGGAAGCAAGCTCTGCTTAACTTGTAACTAGATAGCCTTGTGTGAATTGTCGGAGCATAATATATGTTTATTAATATAAGAATAATTCAGGACAATGCAAATCAATTGTTGTGGTTTATGATGCTTTGTATTATATCTATTTGACATAAAAACTGTAAATAATAAAAACTTGAATTATGAAGATTTTGTAACAATCAGCCTATTTCTAACCAACAATACATTTAAGAAATAAACTAATTTAATTGTACCCTCGTCGACTGGTTATCGAGTAAATGAGTAATGTTGTAACTGGAATATATATTTTTAAAATATAAAATCACATATGACTAAATGGTACATACTTATTAGTACGTAATGCAAATCATGTAAGTTATCTTTGCATAGTATAAAATGAAGTAGCTACCGCTATCTGTTCGCTTAGATCTTTTAAACTATTCAACACGACATTTTTTTTACTGTAGAAAGTTCTGGATAGGCTACACCGGCCATAACAACCAAATGTCACCGACTTATACGCCGCTTAAGGAGCAGTTGTTTCACGATGCTGTCGAGACGCTGCAGCAGCTGAAGACAACGTTTTCGCCAATTGAGAAGCTACTAGTCATCCGGAGTACTTTCGAGAAGATGACCACGGCCGTACAACAGGAATTAGGTAAATATATATTAAAATATAGGAAAATATTTTCAAGTCAGACCCTATGTCCTTTCTCAGAGTTTATACTCTAGACCCTGAGAAAGGACATAGGATGCTTTTTAATGTAAGAAATAAGGATTGTAAGGGGTTGAAAGTGCAGATGAAAGGTAGTATGAAAGTATCGTCATTTTTAAAGCTAGAAGCTTGAAACCAATTTTTTTGGGCTATTAATTAAATATAAGTAAACATGACATTTAAAGTTTTGCAAAAAAATATGTCTTAAGGGGTAAAATAAAAAGCTGTCCATGGTCATTATATCATAAAAAACGGTCAAACCGTTTTCGGAGTATGGTAACTATGTGACATGAGAATTTTATATACATGATTACATATTTCGAATACTGTGTGTGTGTGTGTCAATAATCATCATCATCATCATCATAAAAAAAGGTACAAAGTTTTGCTTCACAAATTAATATAGTGATATGTGTAATCTGGTGACCCAGGTGAGAACTATCTATGGAACATGGACGATCTGTTCCCCGTATTCCATTTCGTGGTGGTCCGCGCCAGGATCCTGCAGCTCGGCTCCGAGATACACTTCGTGGAGGACTTCCTGGAACCTTGCATGCAGCACGGCGAGTTGGGACTCATGTTCACTACATTGAAGGTAAAATAGTATTTTCTGTTAAAGACAATTATATGGTAATAAAAGTATAACGCTTTTCTAAAAAAACTGTATGGACCGGGTAATTATCGAAGGTTTAGTGGAGGCGGAACGTTTTCGGGGTCGATCTCCAACGCGATGGACTGACCTTATAAAAAGGACTACGTAGCAGTCCATTGTACAATGTTCTCGTAGTATGTTTCTCGTAGAGATAGAGGCAGATTGCGAGCTCTGTCGAAGAGATACCACCATAAAAGCCACGATCACTCTGTCAACGACTGAAGAAGAACTGTTCATTCACACGAAGTATTTGATAGTTTAAATTAATTACGTGACAGTCCTTGTTTATATAAAAAAAATGCATCTCAATTTTTGCTTGCGATAAACATGAAACTTTAATGATACGATATTTGAAATAGACTGTAAAAAGTCCCATCTCACAACCATGCAGCTTGCTTTGTAAACTCTATTTCAGTCGGGTCAGATTAGACAGTGAAATTACGTGATATTTTGTATTTATATAGACGGACGAAAGCGTAATTGTGCGTGAAATACCCAACTTTACAAAAAATATTTTCCATTCCTCTATTTAACAAATTCCTAACTCATATATTTATCGAGATAGAAAGTTGAAAATTGATATGTATTGAACAATTTTTCGATGTTCTATCTCGATATAGTTATAAATTTTGACTGAGACAGTTTTTGTGTAAAGTTGGATTTTCAAGTTACGCCAAGCTAGTATTTTACAGATCCAAATAAGTTAATTTTTATTCAATTGGATATCTAAATTCTTAAAGTTTTACCAACTGCCTTAACATCCGATGGCTGACAGTTCATACTCCGCAGAATACATCTGTTTGTATTCATATTTTTTAAAATCCATTTATGGGTCTTTATCAGTTATTTAGTACCCATAGTACAAGCTCTGCTTAATCCAGCACTAGATGGCGCTGTGGAATATATTAAGAATTAAAAAATAACTTCATATGCTTAATAGTGATATTAACAATCTACATTGTTTCAATAATAATAGGAATCAATTGTTTCAGGCCTGCTACATCCAAGTATTACAAGAGAAGATGACTATCAATTAAAAAAATTGAGAATATAGAGTAGAATATACAATGATCTCGCAATACGTCAATGGTGCGTCGTAAACAAAGTTATTTTTAATTAGCTCGTAGCTTTCGCAATAATTTGCAATGTTAAGGTCGTCGCTAAGTGTTTTTATTTGAAATGTGTCCTTATCTAATATGTATTGTGTAATTGTATGTATTAGTAAACTTTATAAATGTATAAGCATTTTTAATGGGTGATAATGGAATGGTACTTATTATACTTTCCAGCCTGCACTAATGATATTGGTTGGCGGGCATCTATGAAAGATGTATGAGAACGATATCGTAGTCAGGTCAGTTAACCCATTGTGATGATGGATTGACCAATAATTTCTCAGATGAAAGGAGACTTAAAAGCGAGTACCTATGACCCGCAATGTTAGAAATATACAATGTCTTGTCGACGAGTATATTGGTTTAAATACTTAATTACTGATGAATTTATCCTTACGGGGCTAATGTCATTCTCCTGCCAGCGTTATCGTTAGTGCAGGTAGGAGGCCACATCCATCCATTAAAAATAATAGTAAGGTCAGAACACTACACATCCTATGTGGTTATAGCCCACTAATGTATAAACGAAATATCTCCTTTGGAAAGTATAAACTGTATCCTGAGAAGATAAAAACTATCACTCCTAAGAATATCATTTAATTCTTGTCTCTGACGGTTAGCGTACTTTGAAAAGGGCGAACTCAATAGATCTATGCGGGTTGCAGTAATAGAGGTTAGCATATAACAATAACTCAAAACCCTCAATAAAAAAAAGGTCAGAACAAAAAGTGAAGTCTAATAAAAATCTAAACAAATTCGATTTGCACGGAAAAGAGTATGAATGAAGGGGTAAAGAAATGGAGCGATGTTTTAAATAATATGGTTTATGGGCTGAATCAAACAATTACACCTACGCATGCGTTCGATCGCGCGCTCCTGTTCCCACGTGGTAGTACGTATAGTCGAAAAGCAAACCAAGTGTAACCTGAAAATGGGATTTATTCAGCGAACACTTGTAAGTACGACACACAATTACAATGAACTTGTAATATTATAAACAATAGACAATTAATTCTACAGATAATATATACTAATTTTGTTATTAAACTTATTATTTTAGTTTGGTTTAAAATAAGTATCATGCGTTAAAAATTGTACTATTCCAGTTTGCGAATTTTAAAAGCTAATGAAACACATAAATACTAGAGATAGCAGTATGTCCAACATACTAATGAGGTTTCAAAGACATTGTATAGTTTTTTCCAGTTCTATTATTAATAAACGAGTATGAAATAATTTAGTTGTATTTATTATAATTTAAATTGTGTAAAATATTCAATTAAACGTCAATTAAGAATGTATTAAAGTAAAGAATTATGGAATTGTTAACTAAAAATACTCAAATAGTTAGAATATTATCAATTTTAGTTATAATATCTATTGTTTCATAATTTAGTTAGTCTGTAGAACTCAAAAGAAAGACTTCCTATTTATTCTTAATGATTTATTTCTAATGAAGGCTGCTTGAACACAATAATATTCTTATACGGTGCCTTCTTTTTATTTATTGTTATTATTAGCCTAATAAGTACAGTTTATTTAAAGTGCCAAAAATTAATCAATAATAAATTTAATTTATAGTAATACAAAATTATTGTACCGTACCCACAGTTGACAGTACCTACTTAATATTATGTTGTAAATGTGAAAATGTACATTATTTTAATGTAATATGGTTATATACGCAATAACCTTAGGATTAATTGTTACGATCTTTGCAATCCGAAGTTTACTTGCCTTATGCTGTTTATTGTTATTATTTAAGACGTATTACACAACGCTTTAATTATTAATAAGTGTTGTTATGTAGTGTTTTATTTACATGTCGTATATGAACTGTTAAACTGAATTAAAATTAATGGATACATAAATAAACAAGTCAGTAAATAGTCGTCAAGAATATACTAAACGTCATTCTTGTAGTTTAAAGTAGTTCATTTAGAAACATCGTACTAAGTTGATTACGACTGTTTTATAATATGTCTTATTTGTTTTATTTAATTATATTTTATTTTACGGAAGTCCATATAATTCCTTAATGGATTTACATTATCATATAATATAAATCCATTAAGTAGGTATTTTATTTATTTTTAATAGTATAGCTACAAGTATTACAATAAGTCGAATCGTACTAAAATAAGCCTTATGGCAATTCATTTAAAAGTTACCTTGAATCGTCCGGTGAAGCTGTAAACGTCAGCTGCGGGCAACACCGTTAGAGTAATCAGAAAAATGAAAGGCGAAATAAAATCAAAAAGTAAAATTGCTATGCGTCTAATGAGTACATAAAATAAAGTTTTCGAATTAGTACGTGTTTAGAGCATTACGCTATTTATATTTGGATTGTACATTATTGATGGACTCAGTAGTCTATCGGTTTAGATTATTTATACGTCGCTGGTTCGATTCTTGATGATACACAAATTTGGATTTGTATCATTGTTCATGTTCGCCTAGGTGTGTTCTATGTATATTATGTATTTAAAAAAAAATGTATTTTAATATTTATATCTATTGTTTAGTACCTACCCATAACTCTGCTTACTTTATGAGCTAGATGGCGTTTGTGGATTGTTGTAGGCTACATTTTAAGTTATCAATCTGGTCATAGAAACTTCAAACGTTTAAAAAATTTGTTTTTGGTTATTTTATAATAGTTTAATAGATAAAGTAGATTTATTAAACGCCCTATTTATTTATTTCAAAGACACAAGTTGTGAATTATCATGTAAAGTGTATTTAAAAAAAATAATAGTAACTTGAAGTTTGTTTAGTTTTGTATATAATTTTAGCAAATTAATACATATATAAAAATTACTGCAGTACAAAATATAAATGAATTGATGTAACTAAATAATGTAGCCGTCTAAATCGTTATTATTGTAAGTAATACTTTCTGAGAAATGGCAGCACTATGATATGTAATCTAATAGATACAAAGTGTTAAAATAGAGCTCAAGAGGATATGTATACAGAGAAAACCGTAATACCTAATAAACAATAATGTAAGAGTAAGAAGTGATGAAATTGAAAATATACCTACTAAAAGTAAATGCACACTAAAACTGTTAAATGAAAACATTTTTACTTTGTTACCTATAAATATCATATCATAGCTGTTATTGGAATTTATATAAATACGTAATATATTACTGTTTATGAATATCGCTCTTGTCATCTTTGTATTTGAAGTGTTAAAAATATAATATTTAGTACAATTCGCAGTATGTTTTTTTATTTTATTTTAGATGCTTTTCACTAAAAAGCAACTAGCGAAGAAATTACAGGGTAAAATATAAATAAACTATAACATCTTAGTTCCCAGAAATGGTAACCTATGACACCCGTCATAGGGTCACAGTGGGTACCACGTGACCTGACCCTTAATGCTGTAGAAATAGAATAATCTTTATTCAAAAATTGATTCTACCACTCATGCGAAACACAGCCTCATCATAGGAATGAACAAACTTGCGTTTTGGTCTTTTAATGAACGTTTCTCATAATTACATTTTTAAGAATTTTTATTTTATATAGTAACAGTACGTTTATTTAATATCTATTATTAAAATGCACAACCTTATTATTTCTGAATGCCATCATCAATCATGGTGAATTCGTAACGAATTTGCATGGATATGGATGGATGGATGTTTATTACTCTTTCATGTCAAAACTATTTAAAGGATTTTGGGGAAACTTTACAGTAATATAGCTATATACATCAGAACACATAACCTATAAATAGCATGCGTGTGAAACTGCAGGCACAGCGGTTGTTATTAAATAATACAAATAAATTGTTTATTAAGGCTATTTATTTCATTCCTATAAAATAACATACCAAATGTCTCTTTTGTACAACATCATATCAAAAATGTACACCATTATATAAATTTCGTGTTAGGTAAATGTTACCTAGCTACTCTCGTGATTTCCCATAGTTCCATGGCTATTAATCGTCATAAATATAATAACATTATAGTCCTCTCACTTTCGTAATCTCTGATAGGTACAAAATGTCCATAATACCGTCCTGTAATGCTGTACAAGATATCTACAATATATCAAGTCCTAATTATTGTTTAAATTCATTGTTAAGTGATATTTATATATATATTTTGGTCTGCGCTAACGAGGGACATACTTTGCAGTTATTTTATAGGAGAACTTTTAAATAAAAGAACACAAACCAGATTACTTCAATGGACATAAAAGATGTCTCTCGTCTGCGCAGACCTTAACAAATAAAAAAATTAGGCATATTTAAAAAAATACATATAAAGATAAGGTACTATTGTGACGGACTTTGGGTTACATTAAGCAGGGGACCTCTTATGAATTTGAGATCTGCTTTCCACCATTCTATCGCAGTCTAATATAAAATACAAATGCTATGTATGTCCTTAACTTTGACAATAATATAGTCGAAAAGTAAGCTGTGGTTGAAGTTATAAGAATATATTTTTTATAATACATGATAACGCAAACACCAAATATAAGCAGTTATGTACTTGTGTCACACCTTATTATGAAATGTAATTTACAAGTTTAGTGACAAATTTAATGCGTAAGACTTCCTATTCAAGATATGTAATAATAAATAATAATCTATTTTATTTTTTGTATTTAAAAATTTGAAATTAAATACAGTCTTAAAAGGATGTATCGTGAGTAAGGGAGACATGTGGCTCTAATATTTACAATATACATATACATACATGGCGTTTGAAAACCATCGTGGTAAATTTGTAGACAATCCGCCACCTGGAAGCTAACTTGCTCGATTTCTGTATCACCATTCCGTCATCATATATTTAAAAAAAATCGCTCTTATATTTCAACCACAAGTTAATATTTTGGGGCATTATAAAGGCAATGCAGGTGGGTTGCACTCGGTTAGTCAATGTACAAAAAGTTGAGAGTATTCAAATTTTAACACCTATAGGCAAGAATTTCCAATGTCAGATCATGAGATATTGCGTCATTGTGAAATACGTGATACAGTGCACAACCTTAATAGTTTACATGAATTATCGATAATATTAACTGACTTTACATTTGTTTGTTCGCGTTTACACAATTCTATTGTATTTGTACTTCGTTATCAGCAAAATAGGGTTGCGAGCGCGGGAGCGAGAACACTCGATTCACATAAGACGATTACTATCAACTACTTACATAGATATGCCATATTTAACTACAAACTTAACCACCAATAATATATATTCATAATTATATACAGATATAAAAATATATTTCCTGTTTGACCTGACTGCATGTCTTAAACCGCAGGAAAGAGAAATTTGGAAATTATAAATATTAATATCTTGTTGGAACCCAAGATACCTACTATGACAGGATTTTATAAAATTACCATAGGAACGGGAAATGAGTTAGATTTTTTAAGCTAAAAAAGCTAAGGTATACAATACACAGATGTAAAGATAAACATGTCAGTTCTTAGCTAAAAATCCCTGAACGTAGATTTGATCTATCCTAAGTCTGTAATAGACCTAGATGAATAAAGGTATATTGAATTAAAACTATTTATAAGAAATCAGAATCTACGCGGACGTAAAATTATTTATGATGTAAAAAAACCTTACAATCAATTTTCAAATGGATAAGTCTTTAATTGGAGTTTTTATTATTAAATACAAATGTATAAAAATAAAAAGGCACATATCAGATTATAGCCGTATAAGATTTCTCTAGAGCTGCGTTATACAGCTTACAGTTAAAATACAGTATAAGAAATAAAATATTATCCCTGAAATAAGTATTTTCTACCTCATTTATTTATACAAGGTGTTCAGATGAATAGTTAAATATGGTCATATATAACGTTCAAAGTAAATACAATTTAAACAATCACATCATAAGTAACGTCAAATTTAATAACGTAATTCAGTTATTGCGTTAATATTATTTTCGAATTTCATAAGTATACCTTATAAACCAATGTTAAATTACAATATAAAACGAATATTCCTTCAAATTAATACAACAACTAATACCCGAAACTCTAGTTAGGTAATGTTAGAATATAACATAAATTTTATTTATTAATATATTACAATATTAATATTAAATATCAATCAAGTTGTATTGCATGCAATTTTATATAAAATTAACAATATTTAAAAGAACACTGTGGGATTTTTAATAATCTAGTTTTACAATAAAACATACCTATAAACGTGTAATTTAAGAGTCACAGGAAGAAATCTAGTAAGCCTATGTGAAATATTGTTTAAAAAAACCCGAAATTTGTTTAAACAACAATTACACTTACAACTAGAGAAATCAACATATATATTACTATAACATCCTACTTCTATGTTAATGCTTACAAAATAAATGCTGTCTACAGTGGTCTATGTGTGTATACATCCACTAGTGATATACTTTGTAGTGTTATTAACAGAACGCATGCCAGATTGTTATGGTGCAGTCACTTCCAGAGAGCAGAATCGAACAGATGCTGTTGGAAACTTATTTGATTATATTGTTTCTGTGAATTCTACTAAATGATATTATTATATCTTGTTTACTTACTACTACTACTTATGATATACTGTATCTTGTATACTTTTTATCATTCTTGTTTACTTTATATTTGATACTGATACAGTTCAATCTTAACTTCTTATATTATAATCCTTAACAGATGGATCACCATTATATTTATATAGGCCGGGTCCCCACCAACATGCTGGGCAGCCTTCATGGATGACTACTGGCCTGAACTGGACTACTAAGGGGGTGATGTATCGAGGATAGATACCGTGGCAAATTACAGTCGTCAGTGCCAATGTTTTTTTGTTTTAATATTTCAAGAGATTATTTGTAAGATATTTATAATATGACCTGGTCTATTTGTAGCCAGATATAAAAAAATAAGTGCCATTATTTTTATATACTCTATACAATGCGCTTCAACGTACAAACTACAACGTACACGTGGCGTGTCTTCCGGCTAATATTATTTATCGTATCTGAAAACATTGTTTCCCGTGCGGGGATTAACAGGCCGATGAAGGCGTATTCCAAAATGTTAAGACAAAAGACTCATAATTTAATGAATATATGAACCATCTGTTGAGTATTATATAATTTAATTTATTTTATAAAAATAGTAATGTTAACATAATGGACGTAACGCGACTGCACCGTACATACTGCGTGCACATTGCACAACCAAACAAAATCTAACCGCGTGTTAAACACTTTAAATTGCGTAGGTACATAACGTGAACTACTGATGGGTATCTATTATTGCCTGATACATAACCCGTATTGCTATTAGATTTCGACGAATTTATTACAATAACATAACCGTGAAAAAAATAATTTCGACTAAACTAAAATAAACGAATGCACACTTATCCGAGCTAAACGCAGTGAAGACGCAAAACTTTGCGTCCGTATCGAACGCTTTCTCAAGGTATCTCACTAAAACAATATAAAGTTAGCGAATTCATACATTATTCAAGAGTGAATTAGCGGGCGTAGAGCATGAATATGTGTGCATTCACTTTAATGAAAACGAACTATAAATTATATGAAACCTACATTCTTATTGAATTGTGAGTACACGCTCGCATTTTATTACTATTTAAATGTAATGTTAGCACACTTTGTAAGAAAGCAAGGTAATTGTGTGTAATAAAACTAAAGTGGTGAATATAATACGAATACAAAATTATATATCTCGTATTATACAAATATCAATCGTGATTACCATATATTTTAGGCCCAATTTTTATATTTATTTCTTGCAGTATACAAAATGTATACAATGTATAACAATCCAAAATTTAGCTAACAATTTTCACCGCGGAAAATGGATCAAAGTATGAAAATCAATATTAAAAACCCGCGGAACGTTTCATTAGTTGAAAATAATTATTTTCAATCAAATATCGTAAGGCTTACCGTTTGGACTACTTTTGTATACCGATCCATATTCCTTAGTGAAATTTGTTAACGTCACTGAACATTGATCATTATACCATGCACCAAATGTAAGTGGATTTTATTAAATCCATTTATACCTCAGAATTCTTACAATAGGAGCTCTTAGAAAACATACCAATTTACCATCAAGCATGTAGACTCTCCATACAAATTATAGCAGGTATAAGCAAATATGTGACCAAGCAAGTTTATAGTGACATCTCACACGAAATTAAATTAAGGCTTCATTTGAGACGCGTTCTTACAGCGAAGTTGTTATCGCAAAAGTAATCGGTACCTTTCTCTTCCTATCTTAGCCCTATACGGCTGAGAAAGACGTAAGACGTAACGAAAGAGAAAAGTAAAACTACTTAAAAAGTGATATTTCTATAACAGCGTCCTATTATAAATATTCCAAGGTCTGTACACAAATAATAACAGACGCATCAATTTTTGTCTCATTGATCGAATATAGATTACAGACTTGTATAAATATCGTATCGTGTTCTACATCTAGCGGAGGATACAACTATCGTTAGCGTATAACTAGTAAAATATACGTATGAACATATATACGTATGTACGTAACCGCGAACGTATATATCGGCGTAGTCACTAAATAACAAACAAACATGTACACTATGAAAATAATGGATTTGTTTCAATCGATTAATTAAAATCGACCATTTCTCATTAAGTTAATAAAAATCTTATTTACATATGCCTCCTACCAAAACAATAATAAATTGATATTGTTAAAAAAATAATTATAAAAAGAAAACAATAAAACTTTTTTGCTAAGCAATTAAAACAATAAATAGATGGCATCGTCGAGCCATGGTAAAGTTGTAAACGTTTCAGATATATAAATAAAACGGCCGAATAATTATTGTTTAATATATCAATTATTGTTCTAAAATTTTTAACCCAATTTAAGATCCCAATGTGCGTTACGAGTGCTACTAAGTTCCTTAACAGTCAAATTTCGAGTTGCTTAATCAACTAATACTGAAAGCACCATTTTATATACCTAATTAATCAATTCTTACATAAATCCGATACCACGTAATTTTGAAATCGGATTGATGAATCCATAAGGGGCCAATTACACGGCGAAGCAATATTCTATTATTCATATATATTGAAGTACTATTTTCAAATGTTAATTCTGATAAAAATATAGATATGTAAGTAATTACTTTAAAATGGAACATTTCTTTGCAAATCACTGATGATTTAAATTTATTTATCAATTGTGGACAGTAAAGTGGAATGCAAAAGAATTATTTTTCTCTGGCCTTAGATGATTTTAATTTTTTTTTGTGTAGTACCCCCTTATGTTACCATCACATCCAATATTATTATATTAAAATATATTATCCGAATCGGCAGATTTCTCACCAGGCATAAATCTGTGTCAATGGCATCCAACACTAAGCTAATCTAATACTGAGATGAACATTAAACGGCCTACACACGTCACTAAAATCATAATATAATATGTAACAATATAGCAGCAATTTTGGAGAAGTAGTCCCTGAGGCGCTCTAGAAAGCGATTCTGGGCGGTTCCGACCATTGCTCCGATATTGGCCAATCTTAGTGTCGTCTGTAGACATTTTTAATAGTATGTGCAGCATCCATAAAACTGACGGGGAAGGAATGCCGAAACCATGTATATAAAGTTACAGTTTCATTACGAAAAAAATCGTATCACTTCCATTTATACCACAACATACGTATATAAATACGAATATACAAAGCTGTTTTTTTTCTAAACAAGCGCATTCTTCTCCACGACAGTTCAATTTTGATGCCAAGTCGATCTGATACTACCGTACCCGTGTACTAAGTAAACACATTTTAATTAATTATATTTAAAAACTCATATGACACTGACGCGATTGACTTCTTATTGTCACCGATGCTATAATGGGAGAATGTATTATAACAATAGTTTATGATTACCACAACATCGAGGTGTGTACACATTAGTGTTTATTGTGGACTATACAACCATTAGCGATCTAATGTGCACAAACATTGAATGCGCTCTCACTCTAATAGGTTAAGTCGCACGATTGTCCTATGCGATCTCGTTCCGATTGGCGCATTCGTTGGTATGCCTTCCCCTCTTTGATAATACGCCAATCAGAACGTAACCACCGCATAGGATAATCGTCCGAATTAACCTAATAATGTGTGAGCAGATTTAACCGGGGTAATAATGCTGTGGATTTGTAATAATTTTAAAATTAATAAATTTTAATATTAACACAACTTATTAAAATATCATCATATTAATTATATATATAGTACTTAGTAAATAATAAGATTAAATGAATAAATATAAATTTCGAAAAAGATATAGATTCTCAAAACTTCAGTGTATCAACCACAACACTATGACTCCGATTTGAACTTTAAATCTGTCGCCGACGTTACACTATGTCATAAGAAAATATATCATTAACCAAACCGCGGCTCGCAACAATTTTTTACATGAACAAAATGTTCTAAAATTGAATGGACCAATACAAAAATATAATTTACTAAATTCTTATGAACTAGTGTACCATCAGCCTTAGATAAGTGCAACGCTATTCACCTTAAGAGCTATAGTTCTGCCGTTTCAAATCTCTTACGATTTTATTTAATTAATAGTAAGTATATGTACATTATAATTATCAATATTTTGCGTTAAATCTAGACCATGATTTTTCTGTCAACTCTTATAAAAAATATTTACAAATTCCATAAGCACTTACGCACTTACGTCGCCAGTCGAATTTTACAATTCGTGATTATGTTACAACGTTATCGATTCAATATATCGCGACGGATAACGGAGTAGGATCGTTTACTTCCAATATCGGCGGCAAAACTTCGAACAATCAATGAAATGATTACGGAAACACCAAGCGATCCGATGAAAGTATCCTAACTTATTCATTATTTGATCCCAAGCATGATATAAAAAAGTTTGAAATTCTTCAATATTACCGAAAGGTTAAAAAAAAATTAGTAATTCAGATAGTTAATATACGTCCAAATACATACGCGCATGCTTGCCGCAAGCATATTAGCTGAGAGAAAACATTAGAGACATCACAAATCCATCAGACAGACCACTTACATACTAGGAGATACCTAAAACTGTAAAATAGGTACAAATAACGTCCTTACTATCCAGAAGGCAAAATTGGCACATGTGACGAAGTTCGCTCCCTGGCCGACGAGTGTTTGCAGGGCGATGTGGGCGGAGGCTATGTGGCCGGCGAACTGTTCTGCGTCGGGTTGTACGGGTGGTTAGAATTGCGCAACACTGTGTACACACTGTCCACCTTGCTCAGTTTCTCGAAAAACGGTATCAAGTCTAAAAGTTCAGAGTCTGTCATGTCGTCGAACCAAGACGCGACAGGTACCTGCAACGTATAAAGTGCGCGTTAAGTACATAACTAAGATACCCTTTTATCTTTTCTCCTCTATCCAAAGGTTGTCCGGAAGTCCTATATATTCTGTATTTTTTTAACTTACAATAAACAGTAATAAACGAAAAAATAAATACATGGAAAACACCCAGACCATACTAACGATCATAGTTATGAATACAATTGTTTGTATCCTCAGCGAAGAACCGAAACCGCGACCATCAGATTAATATCCATCAAGTTTGATATTGTTACATGCTATCATTGTATGTCTAATATATTTAACACTGGGTTCAATGTCGTGCTATTTCTTACTTTGTGTTTGTCTATACTTCTATCAGTAGTCTAGTCCCTATAACACAAGGTCTGCTTAGATGGCGCTGTATGAATTGTCCTTGGTTATAATATTATAACTATTTTTTATCGGGACTGATGTTATTACTTAATTGATTGTATTATTAATTTGTTTAATGTTTCTAGGCACTGACAAAGAATATGTTAATTGTAATCTGACCTTTCTTCTATAAGTACTTAACAAGTAGGTATACAATTTCAGATTAATGATAATAACAACGACTATGAAGGTCATAATACCTTACATCAGCTTTATCTTAATGCCCATATGACAAATAAAATATTTAATATATAAATGGTTTCCTATTTCCTTTAGTCTCAGTATCCCGGCGGGAACTGCAGGGCCGATTTCACTAATTATTTTTTTGTTGTATTTGTCATTGTCAGTAGAAGGTTCTTATGAAAGAAAATATTTATGTACTTATATTGCATTGCACAAATACGATATAGTAGATTTTTTAGACACATGATATGCTCTTATTGGAACTTTGGTTATTAAATTTATATCCTATGGCCATATAGAAGACATAACACTTTGTTAGATATATAAACGTATGGAAGATTTTAAATATTATTGGCATCTCTTAAATATTAAGCAAATTGCGCATAATTTTGTTTTTTTTTTTCTAATTATACCGATGCGATTTAAGATTCACAGTTAAGACAGAACAAAGTCTGTCGGATCAGCTAGTTACGTATATATAATAAACTTACAGCATTGTCCGGATGGAATATGTATGAAGCCGGCGAGTTGTCCACGATGACCACCCGCCGGAGGTCCCGGCCGAGGCTGTTCAGGTCTTTCACGTAATTCCCTCGATGGAATACGCAGCTGTCGCGGAACAAACGTGCACGGAAAACGCCCCATCTGCAACATAACACATCACAGGTCATTAATTTCAATCCAAGAATGGCCTACCTTTTTTAATGCTGACAGCCTGCATGAATACATCCGTTAGTAAGTGATAACTATTTTTTTATGGTATTGACGGAGCACCAGTAGAGGATGATAAAATGAGCATGAAGTCAGGTTAGAAATAGAAATAATCTTTATTCAAATAAACTCATTACAAGCACTTTTGAATAATCATATTTTGATTCTACCACTCAGCAACTTACCAGTTAGGTACCGGTTTCCAGGAGTAACGGCATGCAGGTCAACCTGGCATGCTAGCAAAGGGGTTAGTTATATTTCATTCGTCAAACCGAAACAAAATCGCAAAAATGATGTATTTCCTCTCGTTTTACAGCGGTAGGTTATTCATGTTTAATTTATATGAATTCATTTATTGCATCCAATTTGTCAATAAAATAATAAGTCACATATTATCTGTGTCTACATAAATAAATGTACATATCATTGACAATTATTAATGTTAATAAGCCTGTTAATGAAACTGAACAATATATCTTGACAAGTACCGTGGGGTACGTATGAGATGATAACAAACACAATGTCAATATTGTACGTCAAACAATTAATTCACCGAGGGACATATTGTTTAAATATAAGGAAGCATATCAAAACAACAATATAAAAAGACTTCAATGTCGCAACGGCACGGTGTTGCGTGTGAATTAGTTTTTGTCAATTTTTAGTTCTAGTTCAATTCGCGACTGGACAAAGTAATGCAACATTTTGGAAATGACTAATGTCGATATTATTGCTCCCAGACATTTTTCGTCTTATAACACACTACTGAGAGGAGACCTTTATTTATATATGTAATACCAAATACCTATATAAATACAGTATACATAAATCAAATGGGATGTTCCCATACTCTATTCCTAATTCCCAGTTCATCACTTTCTTTAACATTCATATGCCCACGTCTCCGTTCCTCTCTAGAGAAGACTTCAACAATCTATCCATATAACAAGTTCTAAAATGAGGGCCATCCAGGGGGAGGGAATTTTGTCACGACATATTACGATTATTATTCGAGGGAAGAGCATTGTTAGCAATGAGGATAGAAAATATACATTTTACCAATCATGCATTGCGTTATATTAAATTAATCTGTTTTGATAAACAAAGACATTAAGAAGTTATATTAAGATCTAAGTACTACATACATACTTCTATGGTGCTATGTACACAATGTATTGTTAAATAAAAAACAAACATAATACTTATATAAATTATGTAACAATCAAAAGGCTATGATATTATTTATACATCAATATATTAGATAAAGATAGAACATGCAATAAATTTGAGGTAACAGAAGGATAGGCGGTAGCAAATGTCTGTGACATAAAAATAATGTAAGTAAATATAATGTAGACAGCAGCTCTAGATATGCACGCAAATACATCGTCATCTGTTTCTAGTATAGTAGTGATATGCATGAATCACGACGATTTATGTCGTAGTACATAAATCGTTGAAAATTAACGATAGTAATAATCTATGGAGTAGTGAGATGTATGACTGTTAACAACAGTTACTCTATTGGCAAGAAAGCGGCTCTTATATCAATTATACAATTCACACAGGGTCTAGTCAACTCACTTAGTGGTCTAGCGATTTAGCACACCGCTTTATTTCCGATGGTCGCAGGTTCGATTCGTTGCACGGTACAAAATTTTGTATTCATAAGGTATTATCTATGTGTAATGTGTGATTTATCTAGTACCCATAACATAAGCTTTAGCTAGCTTAACTTGGGTCTAGATGGCGCTGTATAAACAGTCCTGAGATATTTTTTTAATACATAGAATACACCCAGACCGATATAAACAATCACAATCATGATCATCGGAAGTAAAACGGTGTGCAATACTGCTAGACCACTGAGGCTGTCAAATACAATATAAGAGATTACAGCTAGTTACACTCACCTATCCAACAGATCGGCGACAGGATCCGCGTACTTGGCAAGCGACGCGGTGAACAACACGCACTCGTACAACTCGCCGCACCGCCGCAGGAATTCGTCCACGTGCGGCCGTTTCAGCACGTACACTTGATGCACCGCGCCGTCAATCTCCACAGGTACTACGAAGTCGGCGTTGTTTATTGGCTGCAACAGATAAATAATTATAAATATAGATACTACGTTTGATTATATCAGTTACTTTGTTATTATATTTATGTATTATAGCTGTCCCGACAAACGTTGTATTGCCATATAAATTAATATCGCTATATGAGTTGGTGATACAAGGCTATAAATTTAAGGTTGTATGTATGTGTTTATAATGACACATTGTAAAAAAAAAAGGAAAAATTATTATCCAAAAAATAAATAAGACAACCCTTATCACTTAGGTGTATAAAAATAGATAGTAGCCGATTGTCAGACCTACTGAATATGCATATAAATTTCCATAAAAAAATAGGTCAATCCGCTTCAGAGGAGTATGGTAACTAACATTGTGTGTAGCCATGAAAATTTTATATGTAAGATCTATAGAAGGATATATATACTAATGGAAAGTTCACCACGATAGGCTAATTGACCTGACTTTATACTCATCCTATCATCTACTACTGCAGCATCACCAGCATATATCGTTAGCACACATAGGTGCGACAATTCATATTCATCTATTCAAAAAACTATATTGCCTACAAACTAACGTTAATAATGTTGGGTACTTTATAATAATTTCTAGTTTTAAAATAATTTCTAGCCAACTCGCTACATAAAGCTACAGCCATAACAATTCACAATACACTAGGTTCTAAAAATAGATTAACTTCTTTCTACGGCTGCTACGGCGGCACGCGATGAAATTCAATCATAGCAGGCAACAAGGCACAGACGTTTGCTATATTTGCCACCCTTGATGTAGAATTAAATAAATGCAACAAATAATCAAACTGACCTATTACCTAAGTTTTCAACATGAACTATTGAATAGATTCGAATGAAATTACAAGTCTTGTCCTCGATTATATATTTTATCAAATTATTGTAACACCACCGTGCGTAACCTTTACAGCTTTATCGGACGAAAGTGCTGATGAGACTCCAAACTCACGGAAAGATTTTTAAAGAGGCTGAAGGCCAACTTCTGCCTGATGGGTAGGGCTTTAGTCTAAGGATGATAGTACGCTTGAGTTTTAAATGTCTGCTCAGGCCGTCATAATTTCGATCCTGCTTTGTAAATATTAAGGATAGTTTTTATACGAATTAACGCTGGCAATACCGCTAGACATTTAAACTTTTCCGGCATAAATTTCATGTGTCGAAGTTCGAGTTAATATTTTTTCCTACGTAAGCACTTCTTGCTTAGTCAGAACAAATAACGAGCACGCAATGTAGTTAGACTTACTGTATATGTATGCATGCAGTTTAAATATTATGTCTGTGCTTGACGCAAACACGGGCAGTGTTGCGTTAATTTAAAATTGAGCCGTGAGCCATGCTTCCAGAAAAGGAATGCCTTACCAAATGACTACTGCATAAACTAGGCCCAACTTGGCCAGGGTTTGAACGTTTGCGAAATGACTCGAAATTATGAGTATACACATAAGTTAGAAATGTATATTCAAAGGCAGTTCTTTTTTTAAATATGAATAAATATTTATTTTATCTAAACAAATTACAACTTTTAATTTTATTTTTATATTCCAGCAGAGGTTACAGAATTTCGTTACACAACTGAGAAGAAACAAGTCAGAAACAAATTTGTATCTTGCATGTTCTTAGGATATTGGCTTCATTAACTACTATATGTATCTATGGCCTTGTACTCTGTGTCACAAAAAAAGACGATAATAATTACAATAATATTCTCATTGGTATTTAAAACCATTCCATCATTAAATACATAATTATTATCTAAATATTTCATTCAGTAAATTATTGTACACAATATAAGAACGATGTTTTGGGAAATTTACATATTTTTTTGCCTAGACAAAGTTAATTTGCATAAATATTTGTTAAGTAATCTTTGCAACACATCTTCGAAGTCTTATTTCCACATTTTATGTAAAACTAATTGTATAATAGAGCTAAAGAACGCAATATTATCAACTGGTTGCAGATTTCTCGGTATATGGTCTGTTTCTTTTTTTTATCTTTAACATGGCTTATTCTTGTGTGAATTGTCCTAAGATATTATTATTATTTACTATACGATGTGTTTTTAAGATCACTAAGATCACTGACTTAGGTAAAAAAAACTAGTAAGTAATACGAAAACCTTTATCAAGGCAACAAATTTTATTGTAAAATCTGTAAATGTAAGAAATATAATGTTAAACCCGTAACGTGATTTTTACTAAATTTCCCGACAGTTATTTTTAAATGGTGTTTATTTTTACTAAAGTGTTGGATTTAGAACACACCACAAATGTGGAGAATCGTAAATCGCACATACGTAAAGAAGCTAGTTGAATTGAAGTAAGATAGTAATAACGAATCGATGACTCAGCGCCAAGTAACAACTAGATTAGTCATCGCTTAACCCCAACTGCAGTATACCACTACATGTATGACGTTTAAGTCATTATTACTGCTATACCTATACACTGCAGTTATCGTATTAGTCAGTTTCAGATAGGTACTAAATAAATTATTGTTCTGATAAACAAACCTAACAATATTTAATCCAAGTATTATTATAGACTATTAACATACTAAATATTTTGCACTAACATATATAGTAGGTATCTAGGAATAAGAAAGAAAGGCATAACACTGCCTATTCACACAGATGTAATGATGTAAATATTGGTTTTCTTTAAATAAACAGGCCTATTTTAATAAACAGATTTTTAAATAGGAGATAGGTAATATAGATAAATATTTGTTTTTATTTTATTTCTAGTGGAATTAAAAATAAAATAAAACAAATATTTCTCTCTAACATTTTAGTTAATTGGAATTGTTAGTAGATTTGTTATTTTTATAGCTATCTAAGCTATAAAAAAAACAAGTTTTTCTCTCTATTTCATCGTCCTCCGAACAAGTCGTTGATGTTTGAAAGTCTAAACAAGTGTCCTTTCTCTATTTTGCTGTTGCACTATATCACTTACGTAAAACACTGATAAGATAACGCTAAGGCCGTGCTGCGGTTTTTGACCGTATCATTTTGTGATATACGGAAATTAATACAGGCGGCCGCACTTGCGGTTTATTCCCGTGTGATTTTGAACACTTGTGACAATAAACCCCGCCATAATTGAGATAAAAATATTAGTGTGTGTATGCATTAATTACAATCTAATATTATATAAGTTAATGGATAAACTTAAAAACTGGACAAATATTAAAAAGTCATTAATTTATAAAGAGCAACATGTACCGAGTTTCTTTCGGGTAGCGGTAAAGTTACTAGTAGTAATAACTACTACAATACTAATTACTTGACTATCCTAAAAATGAGTGGACGGATACAAGTGTTGCTTAATTTACGTTCACGTCTACATTTTTTATTTCTTAATACAACCTACGTTTCTTCTTACACTCTGCGGTGGAAACAAAAACCATTCGGGATTAAATAACCATCGGCAACCTTAAACCTAAAGTTGAGAATGTCCTTTTAGCAGAAATTTGAAAAATACGATCGAAAATAACTTAATCCTTTTCGAGTCGTTTATGCTTATACATACATTGTATGTTTTACATAATTATATAGTATAATAATTATATAGTACGTGAAGCAAGAAAAACTTTGTACCCCTTTTTACGAAAATTTCACGGACGTAGGAATATGAAATTTCGCACACTTATAATTTATATAGAGAATGAGTGGAGTGGAATACTATTTCTTTTTTATTATTTATAAAAAATACATTAAATTGGTAAAAAGAACACACATAGAAATATATACAGCTTTAACAATAGAACCGTAATATAACTTAAATTAATTATGGTCGAATTTCGACCATAGCTTGGGCGACCAAAGCTTTTCATTATTTGTTTAAACAAACAGAGGTGCCTGTACATTTTAAGTAAGTTTAGTTAAACTGTAGTCTGGTTTCATACTATTTGTGCAATTAAAGAAACTAGTTCCACCTATTTAAAATAACTATAATAACCGCCTCTAGCATTTACATAATATATTAAAATATATTATAACATGCCGCGCTAACATATAAAATGATTGATTTTTATTGACATTCCGTTTCATAGCATCCGGAAAAGCAAGGTTGACTGATAAAATTTCATGTCGCGCAATTCTAGCGAATAATCTAGTTTCTATCAACAATCTAAATAGAGTAGCATTTGTAAGTTCTTATTGAGTAGCGGATAAGGTCTAAATTGCATGGTGGAAATATAAGTATGTATATATCAATAATAAAGAATTGATTCCCGATTGTGTATACAAACAAATCCAAGGCCGAAACCTTGACACATGCGAGGAACTAACCAAAATCAATCACAATGGGACATATGGCACGACATATAAATATGTGATCGCTACAATAACATTATATGTAAACCTTCTATTTTATGCGTTTGTTCACATTCACATAAATCGTGCGCTGCTAATGATTTCAAATATTTTCCGAGATACATTAAAATATTGGGACTAAGTACTCAATCAACTAAGTACTTCTGCGACTATAATCTAGATAGGGTAGCCAGAGGAACTTCGCTTATGACTACAACTGTCGCGTGATGGTAAACAAAACAGTAGAGAAAATAGGTACTAATCACAATATTTCAATTTAAGACAGATTTTTTTTTTAATTAAGTAAGTAGGTAATATATGTATTTGATAAATGCAACTATAAAATACAAATTAGAGCAAATATTTTTTATTTGTAAAAAAAAATAACCTTTACAATATAACAATACAAGGTAACTTGAATTATAAGGAATTCAAGAGACCTTCGTAATGCAAATTATATTTTACAATTTCACTTCGAAATGCAGATAAAAAAACGTCAATTTAATCCTTGCCGTGCAGGCGTTGGCTTGTAACATTCATTTATTTATATTAATAAGTATGATAGTTTGTCTTGGCCTCGGTAGTTCTTATGTATATTATGTATGTATTAAAAAAAAATAAGTTACTAAGTATTTATATCAGTTGTCTAGTATCCATAACACAAGCTTTG